AGTGCCTCCGACACTGCTGCTTCGGATCTCACAGCTTCGTGTGACAATCCAGGATTTCACAGCTTCGTGCTACTTTCCTCCCTTCTCTTGTTTTGCTCCAAAACAAGTGTTGTCTTGCTTCCAACTTCTGAGACTCTGTAGATGATCTTCAATGATGCGTAGGTCTCTTTGATGAAGATAAACACTCTGGAATGATTTCTCTTGATAGCTCTGAGTGTTTTCTCTCTTTGAATATATCAAGTAAAGCACTTGATATTTTTGCTCTGCTTTGCTCTGTTTAAGAACTCTCGGAATATTTTTCTCTTGAAGCTCTCTAAGTTCTTTTTCTTTTCTCACTTCTCACTTGAAGATTTTTGGTATGCTCTGTACCAAATGAGATTTTTGCTCTATGCTCTTTCAAGCTTAATTGCTCTATTCGATCCCTTTAATGGATTCGAATTTTCTGCTCTCTTGTTCGTGAGTTTTCTCAACTGCTCTATTGCTCTTCACTCTTCTTCAAGTCTTCATATCTTCATCATTTTATAGCTGGTAATGAGAATCTGTCCGTTGGAAAGAGACGCTTTCATTTTTGAAATCTTGTATCTTTTTGTCAGAGATCTTATCTTATCTTCTGCAAAGATGTCAGAAAGGATAAGCTAGCCGTTGTTAGAGCTTCATCTCCATGTAAATGGGTTCCCAAACTCCATCTGATATTTCCTCTGGTTTTACGTTGAGTGGGAGTATCTGGGTGTAGAACGGCTTCTCTAATTAGCTCTGAAGTGGTTCTTGTATCTTTGGGATTTAAAAATATTCATCAATTTAATCCCATACTAGTTAAAACTAATATTTTTCCTTGTGAGAATATTTTCACTGTAAGTTCATCTTCATCTTCTTCATTCTCACGTTTAGGTGTTTTCAGACTTCAAATTGGTTGTGAACTTCCACCCAATTTGAATTTCTCCTTTGTAATTGACACCCAATTTCAATTGGCTTGTAATTGGCACCCAATTTGAAAAATTGGCACCCAATTTGAATTTCTCCATTGTAATTGGCTCCCAATTGACAACTGCTCCTGGTGCTTTCAATTGCTTCCCAATTTGAATTGTTGACTTTTACTTCGAAATTGGCTCCCAGATTTCTCCTGATATTGAATTTCATCTCAATTCAATTTGATGTCTTCTGTCTTCTTTGAATCGGTCCCCAAATTGATTCCCATGTGAAAATTTGGCTCCCATCTTGAATTGATTCCCATGTGAAAATTGCTCCCAATTTCAATTGATTTCAATTTTCTCTGAAACTGGCTCCCAATTTCAATTGCTTCGAACTAGCTCCCAATTTCAATTGCTATGAAATCGGCTCCAAATTCCTCCCAATTTCAATTGATTTACTAGCTCCCAATTTCAATTGCTATGAAATCGGCTCCAAATTCCTCCCAATTTCAATTGATTTCAATTTTCTCTGAAACTGGCTCCCAATTTCAATTGGGAGAAATCGGCTCCCAATTCCTCCCAAGTGGAAATTCGGAATTTCCACTTGTAACGGCGCCAAGCTTAAACTAGCGCCCAACTCCATCAGATTAATTTAATTTGGCTTCTCAAATTTTACCTTGTAAAATTGTTAATGGTGAGTTTCAAACCTGAGCCATTTCGCATAATATATCAAGCATCATCCATTTCATCCGTACAACTTTTGATTAAATCTCCAATCACATTTGATGTACTCCTTTCTTTCCATAGATGCTTGATCTCCAAGTCAATTTCATGCATTCTTCCAATACTAATTTTCTTCACGAAAATTCTTCTGAGATATCTTCTTTGAGTAGCATTGACGTGATTTCATATCATTCATCTTCTTCTTCAATTTGTCATTTTCTCCAGACAAAATCTTGATTTTAGGCTTTATATCTTCTTCTTCTATTTTCATGCATCTTCCTCTGTTTTTCTCTTTTCCAATTTAAATAATTTCCCGATTATGGTCTTAAGACTCTACTAGACCTATAAATAAAATTGGGGGATCTACAAATACAAATTTGGCATATCAAAACCATTACACTTTATTCCTAACAGAGCCTAATTTCTATATATTGCTATCTTGTTAAATCAGTTTATCATACTTATTTTATAAGGGATTTTGTCTGAGCTACTGTCTGTACCTGGGTCAGCAGAAACATCTCTTGAAGATCGTCACGGCATGCACGTACAATCCTGAGTAGATGTTAGGAAGGTGTTGTGGTAGTAACGGCTGGTAGCCTTTTTGTACTTACCTATTGTATAACTCCTTGGTGAACATCTATAGTGGATTGGGTAGACGTGGGTTGCCCCGCAGACGTAAGAGAAACGCTCCGAACTGCGTAACAATTCTCTGTGTTCTTATTTTATTTTATGCTTTCAAGTTCAGTTATTTACATTTGATTAAATAACCTAATTAATCAACACGATTGGTGCATAAATTAAAATCAAGTAGAATTCTAAGGTTCATCTTGTATTCAAGATTCACGGTGCAATTTCAACTTTAAAAAAAAAATTGTTAGTTAATTTTTACTATATCATTATAACAATATCTATTGCAACCATATATTTCGAATTATTTATTACCATCCTCTATTGACAGCAATTGTAGCAATTGTCATTGACAAACTCCCAAAACAATTTGCCTCAACAATGAATGGAAATTTCAAAAAAAAAAAAAAAAAAATCAATGACGACTTCATTGATGTGGATGAAAAGTAAGTACCCCACTTTATTAGTCTTATTAAATTAAATAAATTAATTGCTACAATAAAAAATAATACATATGCATTTCTTTAATTTAGAATTAGATGTCTATAATGCCTTTATTCAAAAAGAAAATTATTCATTATCAAATAATTTAAAAAGAAATATAATTTCATTAGTTATATTATTATTATTTTCTACAATTCACCACTGTCAAATATCAATAGGCGCTTGCAACTTGCAAGATAAAAAGTTCATAATACATCTAAAATCTTATAAGTCATATACACAGCAGGGCAAATTTAAAACATCCTACACCATAATCTCATTGCATGACGTTGCCCTATATACTACCACCAGTAACTCAATTGCACATGACACACTTGAAACTACCAATAAAAAAGAAGATGACAAGTATTGAAGATGAAGACAATGACAATGCTACCAGAAAGATAATTAGGAAGACTTAGAGAAATTCAAACCAAAAGTAGTATTTATTTAGACTATTGTTTTTAGACTAAGTATTTAAATTAACGTTATTACAAAGTTGCAAACATTTATTTTAGTGACAATTATAATCAACATCTCCTATATTATCTTACATTCATATACTTTGAATTACTGATTTAAATAAACAAATTCTACATCCAATTATCTTTACATGAACATATCCTATATAATATTGCATTCATATATTTTGAAATTCTTATTTAAATATAATCATTGGGAATTATTATCACATTCGCGTGAAAAAGCTAGTAATTATAATAAAAGGGATAGCTAATATTCCCTAATAATGACAAACTTGTAATATATATATATATATATATATATATATATATATATATATATATATATATATATTTTAAAAAGGATAAACTTTAAATATTAAATTACCTAAGAGAAGAGAAGATGTGATCAAATTACTTTAATTTGAAATATTAAACTAAATCCATATTGATTTTTCTAGGGATTCAAACTCACAACCTCTCTTAAAAGGATAAGAGTGGACGGTCACTTACACCAACCCTGTCTAGGGATGTTAATCGGGCCAACCCTATCTATTTCGGGCTAGCCCTGCCGGGTTGTCGGACTAATCGATTCAGGTTAATCGATTATTTTATTAATTTATTTTCGAGTTAGGTTTGACCATAACCCTAAATTTCATATTGTCAGGTTAATCGGACTGGTTGAACCATCTAAACTAAAATTAAAAATTGAAAGTTAGTATCCATATTTAGATTGTAGGGATAGCAACGGGGCATGAAGTAAACTCCCCGTCCCCGGCGGAGAATTGAAAATAGTTTCCATCTTCGTCTCCGCGGGGAATTTAACAGGGACGGAGAATCCCCTTCCCCGATCATTTTTTAGTCAAAATATTAAATTAGTGTAATTTTTAATTTTAAAAAACAAAAAACTCAAGTTTTAATTTAAATTATATATATATATATATATATATATATATATATATATATATATATATATATATATATATTATTTATATATTTATTTTTAATTATAATAATTATTTCATGATAGGTTTCACATCACTTCTATAATAAAGAATAGTTTTCAATAGTTCGGATTATCGAGCAAGCCCTTTTAATTTCGAGCTAGCCCTATCGAGTTATCGGGTTTATCGATTTCGAGCTTATCGAGCTAATATTTTTTATCGGGCTAGTCCGCTCGGACCATAGCCCTGTCGATTTCGGTTTTATCGGGCCAACTCATCAGGTTCAGACTAAATTGACATCACAAGATATACATTACCATATTTACATTGCCTAAATAATCTTATATGACTCGAACCAAACGCCCCTTTAAGGACTAAGTCAATTATATCTATATAATTTAAAGAATGGAACTTTCACTTTTCCAAATAAAAATTATTTATAAATTAATCAACCTATTAATAAAAAAAAATCAACTTTATATATAAAAAAAACTCAATATAATAACCGAATTTAAAAAAAAAAAAAATATTCTGCATATAATAATTTAACACCAAAATATAAATATTATACGGTAATTTTACGAGAAAAAGTGCATGAATCCAATCATATATTAGTTTTGAAATGGTCTAAAATAAATGGTTAGATAAGTAGAATCAATCCCTATTTTCAAGAGGAATTGAATGATTCATACGCAACACTATTTTCACTCCATTCCAATAAAATTGTGTCCATTTATCTTCCCTAATATTTGGATTGCCAATCACGTGTCAGAGATTCATCGGTCCACCACCAAAGTTCAATGCCTTTTTAACAGTAATAGTTTGTAAGCCCCTCAATATCTGGCCAAGGGGCAAACACTTCATTCCTAGTCTAAATAGCCAAGGCCAGTTTCAACAAGGACAAAAAAAAAAATAAAAAGAAGTGATTATTGAGGTTCAAGTGATATTTTCTTTCTTTAAGAAAAAATAAAGTTTGAAAAGAAAGAATGGCATTCACAGGAACCTTGGATAAATGCAAGGCTTGTGACAAGACCGTTTACTTTGTTGATTTGTTATCCGCAGATGGAGCAACATACCATAAATCATGCTTCAAATGCAGCCACTGCAAAGGCACCCTTGTGGTATGTTTTATATGTTTTTCATTTTTTTTTCATTTTTTTTTTTTTTTGGATTAGATCACGAGGTGTTCTGAGTAGATCCTAACTATAAAAGGCACCTGTAAGCTCATACCATACTTCGGACTAATCCATGTTTGCACCTAGTTGGCCGAATATTTTTTATTTCATAATATATGTTGGATTTGATAGATGAGCAACTACTCCTCAATGGAAGGAGTCCTGTACTGCAAAACTCATTTTGAGCAACTCTTCAAGGAGTCTGGAAATTTTAGCAAAAACTTTCACTCTTGTAAGACACTCCCATCCTATATATGATCTCGATCATTTTATCTATATATGTTCTTCTTTAGTTTTTTATGTTTTACTGATTTTTCTGGTATCTTTTGGATTAATTTGAACAAAAATAATATAATGAGCAGCTAGCAGCAGGGAGAATTCACTGGTATGTGCTCCAAATAATATCCTCAAAGTTTTGTACTTGTATTTTTTTAATAGAAGATTATGGTCTAATTTGTGGCATGAAAATGCTACGTTGTGCAGACAAAGGCCTCAAACAAATATTCTTCCATGTTCTCTGGAACTCAAGAAAAATGTCCTGCCTGCAGCAAAACTGTGTATCCACTTGAAAAGGTTTGGATTTGATAAGAATAGGAATTCTAGCCAAGATAACGTCACACGTTCAAATTTTAGCCTTCTTGGTTAGTTTGACCTGGTGGGCAAAGCTGGTGTCCTTTGCCTTCTTGTTTTGACCTGGTGGGCAAAGCTTACCTTCTTGTGGTCCTTTGCCTTCTTGGTTTGACTTGGTGGGCAAAGCTGGTTACCTCTGGTCCTTTGCCGTCTACTACAGTCACAATGCAGGATTTACCCTCGGGTAGTGGTTGCATGCGTATACAAACGTGTAACCACAAAGTTACAAGTTGAAATCCTAGCCTATTGGTTTGAGCCAGCCACCTTTTCGCTGTCCTTTGTCACCTAGGGTCACAAGGTGGGGTTTACCCAGTGCATATCCTGAGAAGTGGCTGCGGGTTTCCCTCGTCACCCCAAAAACAATATGGCTAATCACCTAGGACAACCTAGATTGATTTATCTTCTCGTGGTCCTTTATAGACACTAGAGTAGTGGTTACAGATTTCCCTCCTTATCCCAATTCAAAACAAAACAAAACAATTGTGTTTATTTGGTAATATAATTTAAGATGATATATATATATGATGCAGGTGACTATGGAGGGAGAGTCATACCACAAATCATGTTTCAAGTGCTCTCATGGAGGTTGTGCCCTGACACATGCTACGTATGCAGCCCTTGATGGGGTCCTCTACTGCAAGCACCATTTCACTCAGCTCTTCATGGAGAAGGGAAATTATCAGCATGTCCTCAAGGCTGGTCAGAGGAAGAATCAAGCGGCGGCTGCTGCTGATTCTGATGCAGAAGCAGAATCAGATCGAGAGGGAGAGGAAGCCCATCCGGCACCCCAACCCGAACCTCAACCTAAGGAGGAGGAGGAGGAGAAGGAGGAGGAGAAGGAAAAGGCCGCTGAAGAAGAATAATCCAATCATATATATATATATAATATATATATTGCATCTTTGATTTAATGCTTCTTTTTCCCTCTCTTCCCATTTGCTTCTGATGTTTTCTTCTTGTGAATTATTTCTCATCTCATTGTTTGGCACAGGCCGGGCGTATGTAGTTTTGTTTTCCAGTTTGTACGTATACATTGTTTGAGAGACCATCTATAAATATACTACAATCTGATGTTTCTTTTTTCTTAAAATCCTGTTTCTTTTTTTTTTCATCTATATATGCAAGCATGAAAATTGGTTATGTATGTACTCCCAATTCATACTCTCATTTTGTACTCTTTATGATTTGACATGCTTTGATTGCTCAATTTTATAGGGGGCCAAAATGTTTATCTATTTTTTTGTTTCATTTTCCAATCGAATTTGAACACAAATAGTAAAAGTTGGGGCTACATCAAGTATTTTCCTTACTAAAATTATAGGAAACGAAATGGGTGGAAACTCTATAATAAATGTCATAAATATTGGGTTTTCGTGAACTGTTTCAAGAAAGAGATAAAAATAATTAAAAATAGAACTCCAAAATGTACAACTAGGAGAGGGAAAAAAAAAAAAAAAGCCAGACACACTTGGAAAATTGACAAGAACAACACAACAGAAATGGTTAAAGAAGAAGCTAGAGAAAGGGACGGTTTAGGAGAAATGGGGAAGAAAATTGGCCTGGTAGTGTAGGCTGTGGAAACCCTAATCACTCCTTTCTCAACCCTTTTCTTTAATTGAATGTTGGTTCATTCGAACCATATGAAGTAAGACCCAAAACTCCCATTAATAGAAAAATGGAACCCCCCTGCCGTATACAAAATAAATTTTGTAGCAAATAATCCTATTTGACCACTCTGAACATCAGGAAATGAAATAGTCGAGGGCGAGTAACTGGTCGGGCCGCTAAAGTAGCTAAAGTTGTTTTAAATCTTGTCAATAGAACCATTTCTATGACTTTGAAGGGCCCATAGAACCTAGTGAGCTTCTGTGAAATCCCCAACTGGAAAACTCCTCTCACTTCTGTGCTTATCTGCCTGCTTCATTCTAGCTTGAGCTTTATGTAGATTCTCTTTAAGTATGGCTATCATTAGAGGCCCTTTCTTGAAACCATTCATTGCCCTCCCCTTATTTCACCACATTAAAAGTCAGAGTTGGTGGTAGATAGCCATAAAGAGTCTGGAATGGGGTACATTGTAAGGATGTATGGTAATTTGTGTTGTACCAATGCTCAGCTAAATGTAGCCATTTAGACCATGTCTTAGGTTTGTGAAAAACCATACATCTGAGATAAGTTTCTAGGCCCCTTTCTGTCTGCCCATCATATTGAGGGTGGTAAGCTGTGGACATACTCAAACTCACTTGTAGCTGCTTAAATAGATTTCTCCAAAACTTACTCACAAACACCTTGTCCCTGTCACTTACAATATCCTGGGGCAGTCCATGGAGTTTATAGATGTGTTCCATGAACACCTCAGCTACTTTCTCTGCAGTATATGGATGAGCCAAAGCTAAAAAATGGTTGTACTTGGTAAATCTATCAACTATCACCATAATAACTTCCTTTCCCTGAGACATAGGCAGCCCTTCAATAAAGTCCATTGAAATGCTCTGTCAAGCTTGCTCTGGAATCTTTAAAGGTTGCAACAACCCAGGGTAGGCTGCTATCACTTCAGTTTTCATCCATTTCCAGTAAAACAGTTGTTTGAGCCTGTGATAAGTTACTTGCTAACCTGAGTGCCCTCCTATAGGGGAGTTATGTGTTGAGCATATAGCCATTAACGTGCAATCCAACTATTAGCTTAGGCTTTTAGTTGAGATGGAGCACATGCTTCAATTTGGTATCAAAGCTAGACCAAAGGTCATGGGTTCGAATCTCAGCGTCACCCATAAGCGACTACAGTCCACGTGTTGCTTGGAACCCACCGCACACGTGAGGGGGCGTTTTTAGTTGAGATGTAGCACATGGATCCCAGCGTCACCCATAAGCGACTACAGTCCACGTGTTGCTTGGAACCCACCGCACACGTGAGGGGGCGTTTTTAGTTGAGATGTAGCACATGGATCCCCTTCATAGCTTCTTACCCAAAGTGGCCTGATGAGATAGCTAAGTTTTCAGCCTAGTTGAGATGTAGCTCATGGATCCCCTTCATAGCTTCTTACCCAAAGCCTAGTTGAGATGTAGCACAAGTGGCCTAACTGATGAGATAGCTAAGTTTTCAGCCTGACCAGGATCCCTCCTTCTAGACAGGGCATCAGCAACACTATTGTCCACCCCCTTCTTTATACTGGATGGTGTAGTTCAGTCCCAGTAACTTAGTAAGCCCTTTCTACTGCATAGCTGTTGTTATCTTCTGTTCTAATAGAAATTTCAAACTATGGTGGTCTGTTTTGATAGTGAATGGTCTTCCCACCAAATAAGATCTCCACTTATCAACTGCATTGATGATAGAAAGATATTCCTTTTCATAAATAGACAGTCCCAAATGCTTAATCCCAAATCCCTTGCTAAAGTAAGCCATTGGTTTCCCTTCTTGCATTAGTGCTGCTCCCATTCCTTTATAACAGGCATCGGCTTCAACCACAAACTCTTTGTCAAAGTCAGGTAGTGTTAGTACTGGGGCCCAACACAAGGCTTGTTTCAAGGTTTCAAAAGAAGATTCAGACTCTTCACTTCATTGGAAGGCATCCCTTTTAAGCATATTAGTGAGTGGTCTACTGATAATGCCATATGACCTAATGAACCTCCTGTAATAGCCTGTGAGACCCAAAATCCCTCTCAATTCCCTAATGTTAGCAAGTTTAGGCCAAGATGCCACAGCAGCCAACTTAGCAGGGTCAGTCTGCAGTCCCTTCTCAGAAATAATGTGTCCAAGATATTCCACTTCAGTTTTTGCAAAGGAACATTTGCTAAGCCTTGCCAATAGCTAATGATCCCTCATCACTCCCAAGACTTCCCTTAAGTGATCCTAGTGACTTCCCAGTGTAGGACTATAGATCAATATATCATCAAAGAATACTAGTACTATCTTTCTAATCAAGGGTTTAAACACATAATTCATGAGGGATTGGAAAGTAGTTGGGGCATTTGTTAATCCAAATGGCATTACCTTAAATTCATACAGCCCTAGGTGTGTCCTGAAGGCTGTCTTGTATTCCTCCCCTTCCTTCATCCTCACTTGGTGATATCCAGCCCTTAGATCTATTTGGTAAAAATCCTGGCATTGGCCAATTCTGAGAACAAATCCTCAACTAAGGGGATTGGAAACTTGTTCTTAATGGGTGATCTCATTCAGGGCCTTGTAGTCTATACAAAATCTCCATGTGTTGTCCTTCTTGGGCACTAACAACACTGGAGAAGCAAAAGGGGATGTACTGTGGGAGATAATGCCAGCTGACAACATTTCTTCTACCATTTTCTCTATTGTTTTTGTTTTTTTTTTTTTTTGCACAAAAGAGTACCTATAGGGTTTAAAGTTCACAGGTTTGGCTCCTGGTGTCAAGGGAATTTCATGGTAAAATGGCCTCATGGGTGACAATGTCTTAGGTTCTGCAAATAGATCCTGGTATTCCTGTAAAATTTCAGTCAACTCAGGACTACTGGAGTTTGAGTCTATCTGTTGGTAACTCAGGAGCTCATTACCTTGGGCAAGGTGGACTGTGCCTGTAACACCCCCGATTTTCCATACCAATTTAAACCTTAGACATGCAGATAATTCTAACCATAAAAGCATACACAGCAGAAGACTTAAGCATGAAATAGATGGAAAACGTAGAGTGTTATGCCACGCTCACACAACGGTGAACGCACAGGCGCAAACATCTGCAACATAATCTATCAATCCAAAAGCAAAGTCAACAACCACAAGTCTAGAGTCTAATCAAAGGAACGCAGGCCCAAACCATCACAAGGAAAAGGGATCTACACTAACTGTCTCTAGACCGCGCTCTCATCTACTCAGCACCTGAAAGAAACACATAGATATATGGGACGACGCCCGGTCAGCGAATGATGCTGTTAACCCACCAATACATGTGAAATATCATATGTAGATAGTTTATATATACAAAATCATTTGCGAAACAGGATATAGTATATATCAATTTCAAAGCTAAGATAGAAGTCAAACACAAGACTCTTTGCACTCACAATAACGACAAGGGAACACATCCCAAGACATCCAGAAGTACAACAACACTCAAGAATGGCTCAAGGCGTAATCTACCATCACACAGTAAATTATCACCCGACATGCATAACACAAGAAAATAAGGACACAACCATTGGCAACACATGTCACAAAATAGAGAATCACACACACAACGGCTACACAAGCCTTCGTGACATCACCCATCACGAATTGAGATGCCTTCCTTATGCCCGATTCCAACCTTATGGCTACCCCCAACCTTATAGCTAGTTCCAACCTGTACCTCCAAGACCCCTGTACACCAAGTCCAACCTTATTCCCCCGAGGACCGTCGTCCCCACTCTGACAATCTCCAACAATACAACTGATTTCATAGTACACGAGGATACCAATCACACATGGCAACACATGCCTTGGTAACACATGTTACCCTTTAACAAATACGTGAACCTTACACAAAGGTAACAAACTCCATAATCGCGTCATGGCCACCACGAGGACCACTGTCGTACCTTGGTGACTAATGTCCCATACCATTAATCGTGCAATCCAGGTACAACCACACACACAACACCATCACAGGAATCAATCAATGGATCACAACGAAGATATGAAACCATACTCAATCAAGGAATGGATCACAATCCGACTCCAACGATGATTAACACAAGTCATCATCCACAATATGAAAGGACAAACAACACACACACTAGCATTTAAACACCGAACTAGCATGCTTATCAAACGGGTAAACCAAACATAGTTCTGAAGAACACACAAGACTCATCACGGTTCAACGAATCACAATGTTGAACACTTAGCACGATTCAAGACACTAAAACCTACATGGAATCCTACCATATAGTTCTATACATACGAAACATCAAGATGACACTCAAATAGTTCCACAAAAGAACATCGGGAAGTCAAAAGACCAAATACCGAGTCAAAAGAATCACGGGGAACAAATCCCCGAACAACACCATATTACGTACCCGCGGGTGGGGCCACGGGTGGACCCCCACCCGTGGTTCCGCCCGCGGGAACCTACTCCCAC